ACAGAGAAGGAAATATTCATAAAAACTTCATTGTCCATAGAGTTTGAGGAGATTGCAAACCATGAAGAAGTAGCATGGAGACAAAGATCCAGGGCCCTTTGGTTAAAAGAAACAGGAACACCAAGTTCTTCTATAGAACAGCTAATGCTCACAGGAGATATAACAATATTGATCAGTTGATAGTATAAAGGGAATCTTTGCAGAATCCTGAAGATATCAAGGGGGAAGGTATCAGATTTTACCAAAAGCTCTACACGAAAGAAGAGGAGTGGAGGCCACTAGGTACCATCAGAAATAACCAGATGATTACACCAAAAGATAACTTAATGCTACAAAGTCCATTTGGAGAACAAGAGATATGGGATAGTGTAAAGGCATGTGCTGGAGACAAAGCACCTGGCCCAGATGGATTCTCAATGGCCTTCTTCACTAACTGTTGGGATGTGGTTAAAAGGGAAGTGGTAGCTGTTGTTCAGAACTTTTATGACCAAGGAATATTTGAAAAGAGCCTTAATGCTACTTTTGTGGCTTTGATTCCTAAGAAGGTGGGGGCCAAAGAGCTGAGAGACTTCAGGCCTATCGGTTTGATAGGCAGTATATACAAGATTATTTTCAAGTTATTGACTAAGAGGCTCAAGAAGGTGGTCAACAAACTGGTGGATTCTCAACATATGGCATTCACAAGAGGCGGACAAATCATGGATGATATCCTAATAGCTAATGAATGTGTTAATACAAGGAAAACAAGCAAGGAACCTGGGATACTATGCAAGCTGGATATAGAGAAAGCATATGATCATCTGAACTGAAATTTTCTCCTTCAAACCCTCAGGAAAATGGGCTTTGGTGGAAGATGGATTAATTGGATAAAATTCTGCATCTCTACTATGAGCTTTTCAGTACTCATTAATGGAGCACCAACTGGGTTTTTTCGTTCTCAGAGGGGTCTGAGACAAGGGGATCCCCTTTCTTATTCATTATTGTCATGGAAGGATTGAATGATATGCTGAAAAGAGCTCAGACAAACAATTGTATCAGGGGCTTCAAGGTAAATTGTAGGGCTGATAGCAACATGATGATTTCCCACTTGCAGTATGTTGATAACACATTGGTGTTTTGTGAAGCTGATAGAGAACAACTGAAAGTACTAAGGGTGATCTTCATTCTTTTTGAAGCCACCTCTGGGCTATACATAAATTGGTACAAAAGCTTCATTTATCCAGTCAATGAGGTAATAGAGCCACAAAGTCTTGCTGATATTCTTGGTGGGAATGTAGGTGACTTGCCTACTGTATATTTGGGAATGTCATTGGGAGCCAAGAGCAAATCAAAAGGAATTTGAAATGGAGTGCTGGTGAAGTGTGAAAAGAAGCTAGCAAACTGGAAGAATCAATATCTATCTATGGGGGTAGACTAACCTTGATTAACTCTGTATTTGATGTCATGCCTACTTATATGATGTCTCCATTTCCAATTCCAGTCAATGTAGTGAAGAGAATTGATGCATTAAGAAGAAATTTCTTATGGGAAGGAAACAGTGAGAAGAAGAAGTTCCATCTGGTTAAATGGAACTATCTAACTACTAGCAAGAAGACATGGGGATTGGGAATCAAAAACCTGAGAGTTCAGAATCAGAGTTTGATGATGAAGTGGCTATGAAAATTTGCGGGCATATGAGCAATCATTGTGGAGAGAGGTAGTTAGGGAGAAGTATGGAATGGAAGGAAAATGGACCACCAAACCAGTGAGAAGTCTATATGGTGTCTGTTTGTGGAAGTCAATTAGGAATTTGTGGCCAAAAGTGATTAACAAATTCAAGTTCAAAGTAGGAAATGGTATGAAGATTTCCTTGTGGGGTGACAATTGGTTAGGCCAAGGACCTTTGAAGCTACTCTTTCCTGACATATATACGTTGAATCAACAACAACAAGCAACATTAGATGAGGCATGGACTAATCAAGGTTGGAATCTTACCTTCAGAAGACTTCTAAATGATCGGGAGATTGACAGAGTAATTGAGTTTTGCAATACTTTGGAGCTATTCAGTGGAATCAAATCTAATCAATATCTCATCATATGGTAAGGGAATAGGCACGGGAAGTTTTCTGTTAAGTTTGCTTATAAGAAATTCCTTACAAGGTTGCTTGCTTTACATGGTTACTAGCAAAAGAAGCGGTTCTAACACAAGATAATCTAATTAAAAGAGGATTTCACTTGTGCTCTAGATGTTGCTTATGTAGAGAGGAGGCAGAGACAATTAGTCATCTCTTTTTGCATTGCAAATTCACTATACAGATATGGAGAATTTTTATCAGCTTAAGGAGAATTTAATAGGCAATGCCTGGAAGAATTGTTGATGTTCTAGCTGCTGGAATAAAGAGGGCAACCTTTCTAGTTATAAAGAAAGATGGAGAATTGTCTCAGCCTGCATATGGTGGACAATCTGGGAAGAGAGAAACCAGAGATGTTTTGAATACAAGTCGAGTAACATCCAGAAGACAAAGATGAAATTTTAGCTCTTTTCTGTTTTTGGTGTAAAAGAAAGTTTTTGGAGGATCATGAATCCATTTTTGATGTTCTAGATTCCTTGTGAGAAGACCAAGGATTATAAGTATTTTTATTTTCTTTTTAGGCACTCCTTTTGTAATTATGGGTGATTTCACAAATTTAGTGAAGGCTATATATTAATATAAACATATGTTACCTTCTCCAAAAAAAATCGTACTATTTTGAGTTGAATAATATAATATGAAAACACTTTTTGTAGTTCCACTCTATTTCAAATAATTAGTGAAGTTAGAGATATTTTATTATCTAACTAAAATTATTAGAATTTAGCCAACTTTTAAATTGAACTGATAAATTAATTATTTTGCAGTGTAAAGAGAAAATTTGGATAAAATACTCTAACCAAAAATACAGAATCACTCCAACAATCGAAGCTAGACCTCGATACTTTTATATGTAAAACTTCATCATACTATACTAGAATTCGCAAATTTCTCTACAGGTGAAAATTAAAAATTTTGTGTTGTACTTCAAAATTTTTACATGTACTATATTGGATTTCAATATGGGAATATAACATGCTACTAACATCTACATGGAAACACTAGCTCTCTTCTATGGGGTAAAGTTTGCCTTGGAAAACAAAACTTAGTGCCATTAACTATCGAAACTGACTTTCAAGAACTAATCAGTTTATTATCTAACGATAATTGTCTCTACGAAAATTTGATTGATGATTGCAAGTCCCTATTATATGATGCGGGTAATCCAACCCTAAAGCACGTGTATAGAGAAGCTAATGGAGTGGCGGACTAATTAGCAAAAAATACATGTAGCTTGGACGTTTTTGAAAATCTTTTGTTGTACCCGACTCCCCCTCCCCTATCTTTCATGCTTTTGTTAGAGATAGTATGGGCATTATGTTACCTAGACTAGTCTCATTATGCAATGAACCTTAAAGTAGTTTTTATTTCGAATAAAAGTCTTTTATTACCAAATATAAATGCTAAATATCCTTGGATATTTTGCTGATGTCACAGTGAATGATGATTTACCATTAACATCTTAATATCAAGTTTGAGTAAGCATTAGAAAAAAATTATCAACTTTTGAGTATTTGTCCTTTGAGTTTTTATGCAATAGTGGGGTTGGGAGTTTACTTAGATGGTATCAGAGCCATTCTTGTGTCAACCTTGTTGATGGTGGGTCAGAGTTCAACTGACTTTAGGCAAATCCCGGTTAGGCGGGGCAAACCTCAGTAAGCGAATCTCATGCAGTGGGGCAAATCTTACCGAGGGCCCTAAGTCTATAAGAAGGGGTGTATGTAACATCCCAGACTTTAAACAGAGTTTCACGTCGGCAAAACACAAGAGGGATACTGGGTATATAAGTTAACATATTTTAGACACTAGTGACGTGTTTTAAACCCGTGAGGGCTTAGGCCCATAGCAGACAATATCACTAGCGGGCTGGGCTGTTACATGCAGCCTATACAGCTCTAGTCTATGCAATATGGAGAGTCAGGAATGAAGCGGTATGGAATGATCGGGTAACAAGAACTCAAGTAATTTGCAAGCAAATAAAAGAGAAATGTAGATACAAAACCCTTAGTTTAGAAAATAGAAGCAAAAGACAGATGGAACGGATTCAAAACTTGTACAGAAAGATAGATTTAGACACAAAGAAATAGATAGATGAACTGATTACTATTCATTACTAATCAGTTACAGTTAGTATAGGACTTTTGTAATTGGGGCTGTTTTAGTAGGTGATTAATAAGATTTCTTTCTTTTAACCAAAAAATAAAATAAAAATGCAACTCCTTAGTTATTTGGTCAAGCAATCTGTTGCTTATGTTTTCGGTCAATTACTGGTTTGAAGCCTTTTACTTTTGTCCTTTTTCTTTTTCCAAAATTTGCCATAGATGACACTGAAACGACTGGAGAAAAAAAAAGGAAAAGTAGAAGCCACTGTCGCAAGTATGCAAAAACAAATGCAGAGCCCTGGTTGATCACAAATGCGGTGTTGCAGTTTTTACCTGCCTCAGTTAGTTGAACCACTTAAAAAGTTGAAAGCCAACTCTCTTGCAACGAAAGACGAGAATTCAGAGGATAATCAGAGTAATTAGGCAAAAGAACGTATTATTAATTAAAAAGAAATGCTAAAAGTGCGCCAGAATCAGTGGCCTTTTGTACAGACCCCATGCCATGCACATTTATCCTTCAAAGCCTTGTTATTTCCGCTGCTCTTTTCCTTAAGCTGCTTCCATGTGTTTGTGTGTGTGTGTGAGACAGAGAGAGAGAGAGAGAGAGAGAGAGAGGCAGTTTGAAAACCTCTTTGGGATGACCAGCAACATGCAATATGTGACATTCTCTGTTGGCATATAGGAAGAGCTGAGAGAGAGATTGAGGCCATTCTTGTTCTCCATTCCTATACATTTCTTGAGAGAGAGAGAGAGAGAGAGAGTGTGTGTGTGTGAGAGAGAGAGAGAGATGGCAAAGGGGGGAAGCATGAAGGGGCACATGCAGAGTCAGAACAATGGGAGTAGAGGAAGAACATATGCAGTGCTGGTGCTTCTGGCATTTGGGGCTGCTATTTTTGGAGTTATGATTCTCCACAAGCTCAGGGAGAGGCGCATCTTCAACCTCCTTGTCAAGGATAAAGAAACTGAACTCATCGACCTTAAACTCCTATTGCAGGTACTCCCCCCCCCCCCC